AAGAAGGTTCGTCGGTTTGTGTTGATTTAGTTGACTGATTGATTAGATCGTCGGGATCCTCTTCTGGTTCATCGACTGGTGATCGGCTGAGGTAGTCTGGCATTCGATTATTTACGCCTTTGATGTGATGAATTTTGATTTGATATTCGGCGATCTTGAGACGCCAGCGTTCACATCTCTTGTTCACTTGAGCTTTATTTTTAAGATGGATTAAGGCTTCATGATCGGTGTCCCAAGTAAATTTGTTACCACTGAGATAGATGTGCCATTTATCAAGAGCACATAGCAATGCATAACATTCTTGCTCAGTCGGTGTCCAACGTTTTTGTGCAGCCGTTAATTTTTTTGATAAATAACTCACTGATCGTTCTCCATCTGGATATGGTTGTAACAAAACACATCCTATGCCTTGGTCAGAGGCATCTGTTTGAACCTTGAACGGTAGTTGATTATTTGGAAGTCGAAGTACAAGTTCTGATGTCAGAATTTACCATGATACGGCCGCAAATGGATCACATTTTGGCTTTAATAAAACTTTATTCAAAATTAGACAACGATTTTACTGGCCTACCGTTATCAAAGATGTCAAACATCATGTTCAAACGTGTATAAAATGTGCGCAGTTTAATCCCCAAAGACGTAAACCGCCCGGACATCTCAAACCTATTCCACCACCAACTGGAATTTGGGAGTTGCTTGCAATGGATTTTCACCGACCACTTCGTCCATCGTCACAAAGAGGAAATAAATATATTATTGTAATCACCGATGTCTTATCAAAATTCGTTGTAGCAAAAGCAGTTCGGGATTGTTCAGCTCAAACCACCGTCCGCTTCTTAAAAGAAGAAGTCATTACCAAATATGGCAGTCCTGATATTTATGAAAAGAAACTGGTAGGTTGTTACCTTAGCTTCTGAAGATCCGAACTGGTTCTCCAAAGATCCGATAGAAAACCGATCTTTCCCATGTTTTCGAGGAACGGTTTGGCTTATGGAAATATAGGCTAAACTGCTCTCTTTGGATTGCTGAAAATTGCAGGTCTCTCCCTTTGATTGTTCTTGAGTTATTCAAAAACAATCGAATGCCTTGTATTTTCGGATGGATGGTGGTATTAAGGTGTCCATAAATTCATATTTATAGTTGATTAGTGGTAAACAGATAAACACATTGACAATGATTCATCGTCAACTGACTTTGAAAACTCAGAATATGTGTATAGATGAACGATATCATCACTATCATTAATCACTTAAAGAGAACTAGACAACATAAAATAATATGCCATCATAATACAAAAAACAAAACCTTTTGTTTCTTTAAAAGAAATTTCTGGATGAGATATGGGAAGATGTGAAGACAACTCATCATCCTCTATCCAACCATGTAACTAAAAATTAATTTGGGGGTGAGTGTGGGTGGGAGCGTAGTTTAGAAATACCCACAGGCTGGCGCAATAAGGAAATTCGTGGTTAATTTTATTTTTATGCGGTTTTAGTTGACTTTTGTATGAGTCTAAATATATAAAAAACAATCATCTACAATGCACATGTTTTCAACGAAAAAAAACTTTAGAATTTGTTACTGTCACATAAAAAATAAGAGCAAAACGACCAATGCACACTGTCAGCGTAGTAAGTTAGAAGAGAAAAATAAGAGCACCGGACTGATCACAAAACAATGGAAAAAAGTAAGTGAAACAAGTTTAATGGAAACGTATAGTTTTCTGACACACTTTATCTATGTTTCAAACTCCTGATCTTCTTAATTGCTTCCTGACTGTTAAGAAACGAAGTATTTGGAAGACATATTACTAAGCAAAACAAAATATTTATAACTGAAATAAATAAATGACATAAACATGGAAATATAGATATCTGGCTAATATATTATGTATAATATATTTATAAAATATATATAGATACTTGGCGAGAAACAAAAACAAACGGAAAGAAAAAAGAAAAAAGTCGTTGACGTTTTCTTTGAGCGTTTTGCTGGAGTAGCTGCTTGATCGGTTGACGATACCCCTTGACTTTGCGTTTGTTCCACTTGTGGATCAACAGCAGTCACTCCTTGCTTTCTGCGCACACTATTCTTCCGGTTATGTATATTATAGAAGTCATCATGATCTAAAGAGAAGACAAAACAAAAAATGTTGTGGTGAAAATGGCAGGTTTCCTTGATTCTTACCACCGGTGAGTAATGATATTGCGTCGGTTGCAGTGTCAAATGTCCATCTGTTCTTATCAAAGCCAACGTATGTTGAGTAATAAGGTGCATTATTCAAAAAATTTGAAAATTCGGGTGATAAACGATATGATGGATTTCCAAGTTGAGCATTATCATTTGCATATCTTGTGAATGCTGCAACAGACTGTAGCCAATCCAATCCCGTCTAAAATGAACAGAGTTATTTGAAATGACAAAGGAATTGGAAGACACTTACGCAATATGTTAACGATTTACAAAATTCCCGTTTATCCGTTTCTGCTGCTGTCTTGGGAAATGCCCTGAAATGTATGATAAGTTTTATGGATAAAGTTGACACAATATTTTTATGACATACTTGACGAATCCTTCCTGTTTATTTTCTTTCATTTTTGCACGTGCTGTCTTTTTACGCTGTATGAAATAATCACCTTTTATCAGTAAACCATGTGTGATTAATAAATTAATTGCTTTCTGTCGTTGTTCATGCTTAATTTTGCGACTAAAATCGGCTAGTGAGAAGACGACAGATGCTTGAAGCATAATTCTCTTGGCATTTATTTTCACCTGTTCTGATGGTGGGACATCCGTGTTTATGCTTGATTTTGAGATTGTTTGGCTTTCTCCAAAGAAAAGTGAAAAAGACCGTTTGTCAATTTGTGTCCGAGTGATGATTTACCATTTTTCGGTTCTTCTTCTATTTCTTCATCGTTTTCCGTTTGATAAGATAATGCAGGTACATAATCATTTTCATAAATATGTCCCTGTTCTATGTCGTATTCAGTAGACATATGTCTATTACTGCTACTATTGTCAACGTCAGTAGCAGCAGGAATTGCAATTCCTAACGGAAAGGAAAAAGTGAGCGACAGTTCAGTGGTGTGAGTGTTGATCATATTTAATGACATGTCCAATATACAGTATCTTTCCTTCAAAATTAATATAAAAACAAAATTTTACGACAATCCGGAGCACTTTTCATATATGGAAAATAACCTGTATTTTGCTGAAAAGCAAGACCATCATTGAAAGAAAGGAAAAGTTGCGACTTTTCACTGCCATGAAAAAAGTTTTCATATAAATCATGATTCTCTGACTTAATGACAAAACTGCACATGCAGCAAGTTCACAATTCTGCAACAGCGGAGTTGTGCACAAATAAGAAGTTCAAGATTCCTCTGACAGATATATATAGAATATCCTATGACTGTACCTACTACTGCACATATTTTAAAAGTTGCGTAACCACGTATGTTCACCGTGATCACTACGCTCAACGCGAACATTAAAAAAGAACTAGCGAAATGTTGTCTCCTGACTCACTCTCATGCTAACTTCCTGCCTCCCCAGCACTTTGATCACGGTAGTCACACGGACCATTTGGATCATTCTGATCATTCTGAGTGATTATAGGGATCACTCTTATGGCTACTTTTCTAACTTAAATGCCGTCTTCTCACGCCGTCAGATCACCTTCAAACCCATATAAAAAGAGTGCACACTTTTCATTTCCTGTTCTTTCCGAATATTCCAGAAAAAAGACACAAGCTTTCTGGTATTCTTTTACTATGTATGTTTGTCGACCTTTTTTAGAATTTTATTATCAAGAATGTGCCTAAAATTGGAAGCTTGAGCAATTTTGCGTTTTTTTGTGCTAGTTGGATAGAGCTTATTGAGTTACCTTAAATGTCTAACTAAATGTCTAGATTTCTAAATGTATAAACAGCTAAATGTCTAAATGTCTAAATTTCTAAGTTTCTAAAGTTCTAAATTTCTAAATGTCTAAATTTCTAAATGAGGAGTGGACTATCGGTATTTTAGAGCGTAGACTGTTCTACACTATAAGGCGCTAGAATGTATTATACTGCCGTTACAATATGAAAGACTAAAAATATTCAGATTGTAAAGTACAGTGGAATTGCCCAAGCTGTGAATGCAAGTCTACTTTTCTCGTACTATTATATTATACTCTGTAATGGATCTCAGATTACGCGCTAGATACACATCAACGGGAATAGCTGATGGATAGGCATTATTTGATTTTACAGCAGCAAAGATCATTTTTTTGTCTATTTACTTAAATATCGGCGTTTCGACAATTCAAGATAACAATAAATTTTTTCTGAATTAATTCTGACAAAATTTATTGTTATCTTGAAAATGACGATTGAATTGTCGAAACGCCGATATTTAAGTAAATAGACAAAAAAATGATCTTTGCTGCTGTAAAATCACTTATCTTATAATCTCAAATTTATTGCCCATGAATACACAAAATTAGGCATTATTTGCCTGTTTATCAGATGAATTTGACTGATAATTTTGATCATGATGAATTTGACTGATAATTTTGATCATGATGAATTTGACATGATGTTTTTGTAGTACTTCATCTACTGTCTTTTTTTTGTCTGATTACATAATTATCAATTGTGAGGTGAACATACAAGTGAATGTCATGTGGAGATCAAAATACAGTCAGAAATGCAGCTGTCATGTTTACTAAACAAGAATTATCTCTTATTCTCTACGAAAACTAACATAATTCTGGAAAATCTAAGCACATTTTTATTCTAAAGAGTTCATTCAAAAGTGGACGTAGGAAGTCACAGGAATCAAACTCTATGTGATTTCTGATCGCATAATGATAGTTGTTTTAACTCGTAAGCTGAATAAGCTAGTAATGGAGCAAATGTACTTCTGAATACAACTTGAATGGGATCAGAGACTACGCACATCAATGGATAATAATGAAGGTGAAACGTTCAACAGATGATGACTTGCTCCCGGCAATAATAAAAAAGAGTATGAATTGCATTGTAATGAAGTCAGAGGTGACAAGTGCAATAAAACAGATACTCTCGTTTTGATAAGATTGTGATAGATAAATGATATAAATACTTAACTCATAGTTCTGTATAAACAAATAAATTTTCAACTCATTTCATCAACTACGTATCTACTAATACATTTGTTCTATACAGTTCTCTATGTCTAGAAAGGATTTTAAAGTTTGGAGCAGTATTACGGAAGAAAAGCTGCTGGCAGCACTTGTTGCACTGGATCAAGATTATCGGTATCTTGATCATGAAAGCTGGCGGATTTCAGCAGCCACACCAAGGAACTCTGTATGGGAACGTTTAATTTTAATATTGAATTTGGAAAATACGAAAACTGTGCGTCATGCACTTTATAATATATGGTAAGAAATTAGATTTTTAAATGAGTATCTCTTAACCTGTAAATATATGACACGTCACTAATACAAACTTCTCTTAACTTCCTGCTCGTAAACTGTAGTGTTATTCAGAATTTATGATTATCCTAGGAAGGAAGATCGCCACAACATTAAAACACGTTTTTTTCAACTTAAAGTTGTTGACATTCAAACAGCTGAAGAACACATAAGCTTATTGACAAATTCATCAGCCAACAAAATAATTACGCGGCATGGTGGAACGAGCTTAAAAGAGCCACTCGTTCGAAAATTAAGCTTCGTTATGACTTATCACGACTGGAACAAAATGTTCAGTAATTCAAGATATGAACTGAAGACCGAATGGACCAACGTCATGTATAAATATTTGATCTCTTGTGGACTCAAATGCCCTGTAGTCTTTGATAGGCATTACATAAAAAAGAAAGACACAAGAAAATCAGCATGCAACTTTTTACGGTGAGCAGTTCATTTATTATGTGATCTTTTATCGAGCAGAGCTAGAAAAAGCGCCGCTAATGTTGATACGTTAGCAACTTTTTTTCTCCACTCTTCGGGTAGACTTAAACTCACACTTACATCGTATGATCTTTGATTCACCTAGGTGCGAAGGACATTGTAAACTGAAATGTTGTCCTATTTGCATCCATGTGATATTACGAAAACAACCAGACACAAATGAGAATATCATCTTCGTCCTACAACTTGCTGGACAAGAAAAACATGATCAGGAACAAGAAACAGGATCCCGTCCACTTACTGGACAGATACGAACGAAAATTGGTATGCGTTTTCTCTAATGAAACTCATTAATTAAAAATTAATAAAGATCATATTTCCAAAAAATGCATAAGTTTCATATTTAATTTGTTGTTTTCCCTAATTCGACAGGACAAAAAGCGAATGATGTTGGTCCATTAAACGTGTATGAAAATAACGTACGACAAGTCGACACTGATCTTTTGAAAGCTGGAAATTTTACTGCGTGTCCAACGGCCGACGTCATTAAACAAGCTGCTGCTCACTACAGAATGCAGTTTATGATGGATGAAGATATGTTCAAAGAAATGCGTGTCGTGACTCATTTTTTTCGAGAAACGAATACAAAGTCAGCTGAAATTACAGGTAATTGTTCAGGTAGACTTCATACTACACTGTAGTCTTGAATTATTTTCAAATTTATAGAAAATCCTCACCAATTTTCCAACTTCATAGAAAATGTTGATTTTCAAGAATCTTGAAAATCAAGGAGGATTTTCAAGTTTTTAGATAATCAATTTTTCTATAAATAATTCCCAAGAATCTGAAAAATCAAGGGCGATTTTCTCTAAATAATTTTCAAGATTATAGTGTAGCGGTATAAACAGCTTAACTGTAAGATCAGTTGTGTATCAACTTCCAACCGTTTGCTGTTCTACGACTGTTTGACTCTTCTGATAGATCTGCTAACACAATTTATTCAATGTTGTTTGGTTTTGCGCATAGTACATTCCTACCCTCAACAACATCAAATAGATCCTAAACACGTTCACTTAATTCATTTTAAAAGAGTTTGTTACTATGTGTGTTTAGGTTATGTACAAACGACTGGCGAACAACCATTTGCCCTCCATTTTTTTACAGAATCTCAAATTACTCGTTATATTTCGTTCATTCACTCACAAAAATATTCACATATACATATGGATGCCACTGGTTCCTTTGTTCGAAAGTTTAACGGCCAAAAACGTTCTTTATTGTATTGTATTGTTTTTAAGGATGGTGACGATCCATCTCAAATTATACCTCTCGCATCGGCTGTTTTATGTAACCACAGTGTACAGTCTATCACCTATTTTCTTAACATCGTTAGAAAGAGTATTGTCACAATAGCGGACAAATTTATTCGCCCGTCGTTTATTGTTATTGATTTTTCGCCAGCTATCTTGAATGCCCTATTACAAACATTCAACAACGAAGGAATCAATCTACATTTAAAACGATGTTGGAATGTTTTGCTAAAGACCTATTCATCGGAGGAACTATTTGCCGTAACATATATACGATTTTGTTGTGCTCATGTTATGAAAGCATTCTCACGTAGCTTAAAAGCAGCACAAGTTAAAAAGGACACAAGAAAACAGATCATGCACTTCTTCGCATTTATTTTATTGTCCATGACACTCGATCAAGCTATGCAACTACTGAATGCTGTCATACAGATTTTCGGTGATCCATATAACACAGACTCACCAGCACTGCTACAACATTTTTTGAATATTGGTCTCGACGATTCTACTATGAAAATAATTAGCGAAGATGAGAATGACGGCCAACAGCAACAACAAGAGCTAGATCCATTAGAAGAAATTGATGAAACTAAAATATCCAGTAAAGCTATTATTCACCAATCGCCGTTTAACGTTGAAGCGAGAAAACAGATTCCAGATTTAGTGAACTTGTTAGATAGCAACACGAAATATAATACTATCACAAGTCCGCTTTTCTCGAGAAGTGTAGTTCGAACTATGTACAAATGGTTTGCCTATTTGCCGTTATGGTCTAGTTTGATGTTAGACTTCGACGAGATGCACGTATACTATTATTTCACTTATCCTACATATACTGTGCTGTTATTTTAATAGCCCACTCTACTTTAGTAAATGAGCATTTTCTCTAGGGCTAAAGAATCTCTCAAATCATCAGGCATTTTTTGCTCTAAATTTCTATTCACTTATTTCTGGGATCTGAATTTCGCCCTTCTTATATTATAGATATTCATCAGACAAATCAATACCCTCGTACGTTAGCAAAATTGGCCCTGGTCAATTATCAAATGCAATTGTTGAATCTTATTTTGGTATAGTAAAAGAATGTATTTTGCGAGATATAAGTCGTCTTCGGCCAGCACAGCTAGTTCTTAAGTTATACCATAGTACACAATCTCGCTTAACAGCTGCTGAGTATAGCGTTACACAAAGTGCCAGAGGGCGTAAACGACGAAAAGAAAGATGTTAAAGTAGAAGAGAAGTGGAGCAAAAAAGGTAACAAATCCGGTCGTAGAAGCGCCTATTTTCTCAAAAAAATCAAGTCTATCACAGCAACATCAAAGAAGAAGGAAAAACAGTATGTTGCATCCAATACTTTTTCATTATCATATGTACATGTCCCTCGATCATTTTAGAGAGAAAAAAGTTAACTCTCAAAGTAGCACAAACGATGCAAATTATGATATTGGCAATGAGCAACTAAGGTCGGTACTTCGTTAAAATTCTTTGTACAAAGATTAAAATGCTCTTTGCCATACAAGAATTGTCCATCTTACCAAATATTATCTCTGACTAAAGCGGAGCCCTGCAGGTTGCGACTTTTTGGCAACCTATAACGTAACCTAACCTAAGAATAGATTAGGGTCGACCTGCAGAGCTCTGGACTAGAGCTCTGCAAGGATAAGATACTGAGATGATACAAGAGACACATCATAAATCCTTATTTACCCAATCATTGAAATTTAAATAATTTCGTTACAATGAAAAACGGATTTGTATCTGTTCCGAATTCTAAATGTGAATAGAAGACGTGCGTTAGAAGCTACTTACATTTAGTGTATCGGTGCCATCGATGAATTCATGCAGCGTATCACAAACATCGGCGATTACTGGTACAGATAATGAAAGTATTCGAAAAAGTGCCCGACAAAAAACTCCAAATATTAAATATAGATCACCTCCTACTTCTGTTAAGCGTATTGCAAAGAAAATATTAGTACCAATGGGCAAACTTACTACGCCACGAAACTGATATTGTTGGTCGTAACATACTTTGGCCCATGTGGGATATCAAATCATGTATTTACGAAGGTGATAATCTGACACTTTGTTCCTCTAACCTTATTTATGTTAACCATACAAAATTCATAATAATCAAGAGAACAGTAATACCTTGAATTACTTCACATCAGTAAGATCCCATGTAGTCAAAATCGGCGATCTTTTAGCCATTTTACCGATTAATAGCTATTAATCGGCGGGTTTTTCGTTTAACAGTTAACTGGGCTCCTCGGTTCAAAGCTGACTCAAATCGAAACAAAGCGTTAGCTCTGAGGAAACTACAGAGAACACTCTTGGCAACTCCGTTTTAAACTAAACTAAAAAGATTATCTGAAAAGAAGAGTATTTCTTGTTGAAATTGTGTTTCTTATATACTTTACTGTAGAATAAAACGATGAATAACAAAAACCATGTAATCGCTTAAAATCAACAATTAATCGCAATTAATTGACTATTATTAAAAAACAGAAAAATCACCACGATCGCTAATTAATCATAATTAATTTGCGATGTTTTTAGGAATCGCGATATATCGGCGATTTTTCATGCAAGCCGATTAACCACCAGTTGTTAA